ATAGGTTGTGCAGGGGGCTATCTCTGAAATTTGTTAAGAGTCAGAATGCTTTGCTACAAACAGTAGAGGTTACTGTATAATTTTAGCAGAAAACGGACATCCTGGAAGGAGGGGTATAGGGTGTCTTAGGTAAGTGGCAGGACAGCTTGCCAGGCTTAGGAACCCAGGACATACATCAGGACCCCTGATTGATGGGGGTCAATCACTGGTGAGGGATCCTCGATGTGGCTGCTGGCACTGCTGCCATCATTGCTAGAATGAATTAGAAACTGCCCACTTCAATGTGCACGCAGGCACAGGCCCAGGAGTAAGCATGTGATTGGCCGAGCATGGCTCACCCTCCCCATGACATAGCGTGGGCACCTCCTGGCCTCACAATGAAAGGCAGGGTCACCTCCCACAGGACTCAAAAGGTGGGCTCAGAAATTGCTTATCCACCCCACCCAAAGCACCCCAGATGACAAACATCTACTACAGAGATACCTTTAAGAAAGAAAGATTTTGAGACGTTCCATCAAAAGAAGAAAAGAAGAAATGAAGCTGGATGATCATCATATTTGCCTTTAAACCAGTGTTGAAATGAGGTTCTCTGGACTCCAGGCTCAGAATCTTGTGAGGTATTTGTTTAAAATTGACCTTCCTGGGCCCCTTTCCCTGTTTGAATTCAGTGCATTTGGAGTGGAAACCAGAACTCTGTGCCCATAAACCAGGAAAAGGTGAGATGGGGTCTTGTTGATTAGTCTAGTTCCTGTTTAAGGGAATGCAGTTTCCAAAGCCTGCAAAGTTGAGGGTCTCAGCAGAAGGTAGCTCCCCTAGAATGGTAGACCAGTTGTTTTGCTCTGGATGAATCCAATGGGGAGACCGTCTGTTGCCTGTGTTGGAGGAAATAGCTGCAAGCAATTCTATTGGTAGGTCTGGATCTATCCTTCCTATCCCTTCTGGGGATAGGAATATTGCTAATAAATAAGTGCTTGATACAACTTTGAAATAGGTAAAAATGAGCATTTTGCATCAGTCCTACCCCCCACCCCACCCCCATTTTATTTCAATAATCCTTTATTGAGTGGGCCAGGCCCTGGGTATAGAGAAGTAAGTCAGGGACTCCGCAAAGCTGGAATAGATCAGTTCAAAGCAATATGATAAGGGCATTTGGGAAGTTTTTAACCTTGTATTGGTTGTCCTGAAGTGTGTTTGGAAAACCCAAAGTGTCCTTGGAAAGGAGCATGAATTGGCCAGGCACAAGTGTCCTCCAGGAACAGTGTCCCAGGAACAGTGTGGATTCTCAAACTTGACTTGTTTTAAGAATCAATCCCCAGGGGAGCTTGTTCAAAATGTAGATTAATGGGCTCACCCCAGAAATTAGGCCCGCTAATCTGCATTTTCAGCAAACACCCCATTTCGTGAAGGTATAAATGCTGGTCCATGAGAGCTTTCCTGTATCTTATGCCGGCAGTTCCTTGAACTGCTCTCTGTGGTTCTGGGGACCCAGTGGGGTTTAATAGATAAGTACCCAGACTTTCTCTTTTGGCACAACTTTGTTAAAACCGAAATGAAAAACTCCTCTTTGACTTGACTTTAATCAATTGTCTAGTGCTTCACAATTAGGGAGATTTTATATTTTCTTAAAATTTATTTTAAAATGAAGAGGGACCTACACTTTGGAGCAAGATGTAAAGAAATCTGGATTTCTCATCTAACTCAGTTGATAGCTCCATCTTTGCCGCAATGAGCAGTAGCGTTTCATTTCATTTGGAGTGTCCCTTCCTCTGCTTTTTCACTGAGGGAGTTGGAAAGCCTGTTTGTTCATAGTTCTCCTCCCGGGTCTGTTTCTCTCTGTCCCTGTCTGAGGCTTGGTGGCATTACCAGGAAGCGAGCCTTTCTCAGCAGCTGAGCCTTTAATCCTTCCAGCTGGTTGGGCTTGAGGCTTAGCTCCCTGCCTGTCCTGGAGCAAAAATAAAAGATAAGGTGTGTTTGTGGGGTGTGTGTGTTCAAAGGGAGCCCTTTGGAAGCAGTTACCAGGGTCATGGTGTCTGTTGTGGGTGTGACAGAGGGAGGACCAAAGGAGGACCAAAGCGTGGGTGCACGAGGTCGGTCCTGGGAGCCACCTGGGGATTGGAGTGTTTAGGGTCATGCTATTTGCAGTTCTGCAGAAGTAATTGGAGTGGCACGGGGCTTTGAAGATGAGGGAATATCTAAGGGGATTAGATATGAATTAACATCTTTCTTCAAGTAGCTCGTGAAATCCCACCTCTTGTCTTGGGCTTTCTTTGCCCTGGAATATTGGAAGTGGGTCCTCTGGCCCTTTGTAAAATGTGTCATTTTCTTGACCATCCCCCTTTGCCTTCTCACAGTGTGTGTTTTAGGAGCACAGTGTGTGTTTCAGTGTGTATCCAACGTATAAAATGACAGCCACGTGCCCCAGAATGCCAGAACAGAGAGAGGCAGAGCAGCGCTTCCCGGATCCTCCTCCCAGGTTCGGTGCTGACTCAGCTCGCCTCGCGAAATGGCACGAGGGGATCAGCTATTTTGATTGATTGATTTTTTATATTCATCAGCTCTTACTAAACACCACTGCATGCCACGCCCTATGCTAGGTTCTGGATATGGAAATACAAGTAGGGCAAGGCCCACCTTGAAGGCGCTCTCTGTCCCATTCCCTCCCCAGACGCTGGAGTGGGAGCTGCATTTAGGATTTCTTTTTTTTTTTTTAATAAAAAAATTGTATTTACTTAGAAGCATTGAGAATGTCAACAAAACAGCTGCAACTTTTTTTTTTTGCAATTACAGAGTGGTATTCAGTTAACAGAACAACAATTATTTTGTATAAGCTGCATCAGAGACAACTGAAGATGAAACAACTACCATCCCCATATGTAACTAATTTGTGCTGTGCACCAACAAGAACCTGCCTTAAATTTCCTTGCCAATTTACAGCGCCCATACTGTACCAGGCAAGGTTAGTGGCTGTCAAAAATACCACCAGGACAGGGCTAGCTAAAGACACATTCGGTAGTGTGTTAACTATACAAAAAAAGACACTGTACAGTTTAAAAATAAATCTTACACAGTCTTACATTTCAATTTTTTTCTTTAAAAGGAATGAGTTGTGTACAGGGGGGTTAAATGCTTTGCAGACAAGTAAAAAAAACTGTGCTAGAACCAACGTATTCATCATCATCACCTTCATCTTCTTCATCTTCCTCCTCCTCTTCATGCTCTTCATCTTCCTCATCTTCCTCCTCTTCCTTCTTTTTCTTGCTGTTTTCAGCCTTGAAGACTCCCTTTTTTGCTGCATCAGGCTTTCCTTTAGCTCGGCGTGCAGCAATATCCTTTTCGTACTTTTCCTTCAGCTCTGCAGCCTTCTTTTCGTGAGGCTGCTTGTCACCTGCTGCAGTGTTATTCTGCATCTCTCTCAGTTTCTTTGCAGCATCACCAAGGGATAGGCCAGGATGTTCTCCTTTGATTTTAGGGCAATACTCAGAACAGAACAAGAAAAAGGCCGAGAGGCCTCTTGGGTGCATTGGGATCCTTGAACTTCTTTTTTGTTTCCCCTTTAGGAGGAATATAGGTTTTCATTTCTCTTTCATAACAGGCCTTGTCCGCCTTTGCCATATCTTCAAACTTTCCTTTCTCTTTGGCAGACATGGTCTTCCACCTCTCTGAGCACTTCTTAGAAAACTCTGAGAAGTTGACTGAAGCATCTGTGTGCTTCTTCTTGTGCTCCTCCCAGCAAGTTTGCACAAAGAATTCGTGTGATGACACTTTGCCTCTCGGCTTCTTAGGATCTCCTTTGCCCATATTTAGTTATTTTACCTCAGCGAGGCACAGAGTCGCCCAGTGCCCGTCCGGCTCTTGCTTGGCCCGGTGCTGTCTCTATGGAGCTCAATGTACTGCCAGGATTTCTGTTTCTTTCTCCCCCCACAAGGGGCAGGTGGGAGTCTCCCTTTGCATTGCCTCTCAGCTCCTAGACCCCTAGCTGTTGAGGTGGTGACTTAGGGAGAAGGTTTCCATCAGGATCACCTGGTGAGCGTATCTGTGTGACAGATTCCAGCATCGCACAGCCTCAGTTTGGTCCCCGACCTTGAGGCCATGCCCTTTTAGTTTGGTTTGGGTGTAAGGTGGACAAGGCGATGTTTGAAATGAGATCAGTGAGCAAATAAGTAAAATAATTAGAGTTAAGATATATCTCCAGATATATCAGATAGAACAACACATGCTTGAAGAAAATATAAGCATATTAGTTAATTACTTGTTCCGACCAGAGCCTGAGCGGGAAGGTTCTATAGGGACAGTGTCTTGGTAACATGATTAGAACTTGGGCTTTGAAGCAAACTACAGGATTTGAATTCTGGCCCCACCCTTCATTTCCTGTGACTTGGGCAAATCACCAAAATTTGCATCAGTTTCCTCATCTGTAAACTGGGATAATGCGTTAAACAAGGTCCCACCTGTGAAGCATATAGAACAATGTTTGGAGTACAGTAAGTGCTCAATAAATGTTAGTTTCCAAGGCCACATAGCCTTCTCTACACTGCCTGGTGTTTTTTGAATCGTAAAGGGTCTGCGTCCTGAGTCTGGTCCCCTTGAGGAAGGACCTTCACTGAGTCATGGCTTTGATGCAAACACCTCCCCCTGTGGCTCGCCAGCGGCTGTGTGTTTGGTTTCCTCCCACCCACCAGGATTAGGCTGAAGGGCTTGCCCTAAAGCTTTTCAGCCTCTTCTCCCGCACTGCTCCTGGTGCAGGCAGGTTATATGCATTGGTGACGCTGGTGCTGTTTCTCTCCTGGCCAGGGATGGTGTCTTGGTGAATGACCCCCTTGGAGAACGCTCGTCTGTGCCCCTTGCCTCAAGCCAGCCCAGCCAGAAAACTGAAGATTCAGCAGATCCAGTGCCCGCTGCGCCTCTTCTACACAGGGAAGCTCCTGTCTTCAGCAAGGCTTCCTGAAGCTTTGAGGCGAGAGGACCTGGTTTTACCTGATGTTTAGGGGATCCTGCTAGCTATGGCACGCACACTCAGCTTCCTGCTGCTGCTTCCGGGGCTATGTGGGAACTCCATTTCAGGAGGGCAGCCTTCATCCACAAACACTCCTGGGGATTTGAATTATGAATTGCCTACAGCAAATTATGAGACCCAAGACTCCTATAAAGCTGGACCCATTGGCATTCTCTTTCAAATGGTGCACATCTTTCTCCACACGGTGCAGCCTAATGCTTTCCCTGAAGGTAAGTGCCGATTTCGGGGAAAGGTAGCATCTGTCTCCAAACACACCCACAATGTTGTTTTTTAATGTCAATACAATCAATATACAATATATTCAGTATTTTAAAGTACGAGTTTCAAAATGATTGATTCGCACAGGAGCAGAGAGTATTTAGACAGAAGTTAAGAAGGTGTACCAGGTTAAATAGGTCGGCAGGAATGCGATTATAAGAAATGGAATCAAACTGTGTTGCTGTGTTGGTTTTCTAATTCTTTACCTTTTTTTGTTTTGTTTTGTTTTGATTTGATTAGAGCAATGAATTAGTCCAAGGCACTTTCCGAAGGCAAAAATTAGGGTACCATTAGGATAAAAATGCAAATTGTCATCAAATGAGAAGTCAATAATTACCTGGCATCAGATGGCCACCTTAGCACTTAAAAATGTAACTCTCCTCCACATACCAGAAAATGCAATTTTGACATTGCTTAGGGGAAGGACAAACCTGTTCACCTGATTAAACCTGTTCACCTGTTCACCTGTTTGCTTCAGTTCTGAGAGCTTGGGTGTGAAGGGAAGAGGGATTGCTGCTTGCTAGGATTTTTATGGCATTGTGTGTTCATTCTTCATACATAGTGCTGTCTCCCACTTCAGCCTTCTTACTATTGTTCTCTGTTCATCTGAGCTCTAGAGGGTATATGTTCACAGAAACAGGATTATGAAAATGGAATGGTCTGTGTGAATTATCTGCTACTAGAGTTTGCAGCCTAAATTGTTGGTTGGCTTAATGTTAGATCTATCCTACGCTTGTTCTTTAAACTGCAAAGCCTTGTATACAACCATTGATTATAAAATTTGCTTTAATCTTGCTTTATCATTTTCCTTAGCTGGCGAGCTACTGTTTATCAGTCTTATTTGTGTGTGTGTGTGTGTGTGTGTGTGTGTGTGAGAGAGAGAGAGAGAGAGAGAGGGAGGGAGGTAGGGAGAGAGACATAAAGAGAGAGAAAATGTATTTAGTGAACCTTATCACTTGTTTATATTATGGAGAGTTTATAGATTTTCATTAAAATACATTTTTCTTGAAATTTTTTATATTTAGTTGTCATAGATTAAGCGAGTAAAACAGTTGTAAGTGTAGTTGTCAATTTTTTGTTAGTTTAAATTTCAGTGCAATGAAATAAATTGCTGAGTCCTTATTGTCATTAAAAAGAGTCCTGTACTAATGCTGCTTACCATTTATGTCACTGCTTAAAAGACTAACTTTTGAGTGCAAAAGATGAAAGTAGAACATAAGCCGAGTTTATTTAATGTTAAATACAAATTCACTGTTCTGAATACATATCTCTTAGTTTATTTGTAGACTTAATATAAGTATTATTGAATAAAAAAATACCTACTAATATTTTTAGTCTTTGCTTCTTTGTTTTTTTTAATATAAAAAGTGTAGAATTCAGTTGTTTAGTATGAATTTACAATGACTTCTTAGAAAAGATTGGAAAGCTTCCCAAGTCTCATTCTAAGTCATATCAAATAATTAGTTAATCCCATAATCTCTTTCCATATGTTGTTCTATTTTGCTGCCTTTAGATTTCATTGAAAGGTTTCATCATACTTATTTTTACAAGGGAAAGCAGTATTTTTTAAGATCTTCATTCAGATGATCAGGCTAGAAGACATCCTTTAGCTTTACACAAATTTCCATTCTAATGCATTCTAAGGTTTTGAACTCCCAACAACATTATCAGACTAGAAGGAGGCATCTGAAGAATTTAAATCCTAATGTAATCTGAGGGTGTTAGCCTAGTTTGTCTTTCGACTTTCATCAATTCTGATTATATTGCCAAAAGAAATTCCCAAAAGTTTCAGCAGTAAACCAATGAAGACCAGCATTACTCCTTTGGAGGGAAAAATTATTAGGTTGCTTAAAGAATATAATATTGAATTTAACAGATGAATCTTGAAGTGTTGGGTTTTTTCATGTGTCCCTTTTTATATTCCTTCACCCAGTTACTGCTGTATTTCATAATGGTCTCAAAATGCCCACTGGGTGCTTTGCAGTGTAAAAAACACATTTTGGGAAATCTGATTTTTCCATTTGGGGCCAGTGCATTTCCCAGGCACCAAATTTTTCTTTTTCTTTCTTTTTTGGGGGAGGGCAGGGAGACAGAGTCTTTCTCGGTCACCCCAGCTAGAGTACCGTGGCATCATCGTAGCTCACAGCAACCTCAAACTCCTGGGCTCAAGAGATCTCCTGCCTCAGCCTCCCAAGTAGCTGGGACTATAGGCATGCGCCACCATGCCTGGCTAATTTTTCTATTTTTTGTAGAGTTGGGGTCTCGCTCTTGCTCAGTCTGGTCTCGAACTCCTGAGCTCAAGTGATCCTCCCACCTTGGATTCCCAGATTGCTAGGATTATAGGTGCAAGTCACCACACCTGGCCACAGGCACCAAATTATAGATATTAAATAGATGTTCTCATAATTGAAGATGCAAAAAACCAAAACAACAGCAACAAAATGTCAACAACAACAACAACAAAAAACAGCACAAGTGCGAGTGATGAATTCCTATTTATTATTTATTATCTTAATTAGTTCAGTACATTAACCAAACAGAAGACTTCAGGACTCATCCTCTATGGAGTAATGTCTTCATGGAAAATCTTATCTTACAGGTTATTCTTTCATTTGAAAGAGGAGAGGTGCTTTGAATGCAAAGTTCCAGTGCAGGTTGAAGAGTGGAAGAGGAAGGCCAGCCCTGAGCATGGGCTCCCTCTTTTCTTCCCATCTGACTGGGGAGTTTTTCACTTTTATGTCCTGTGTCCAACTAAAATGGTTTACCAAATTTTGCATATGAAACTCAAAAGCCCTTGTTATATCCTTAATAAATACAAGATGGAAAGGCCTTGTTCAGTTAGGACTTGAGACAAAGCCTTACTTCTGGGCAGAAGAGATTAGTTTTGATTAGACCAGGAACCCAGGCAACCATACCTATGTCAATGTGGCCAAATGTCTTCTAGAACCTGCCCTGGCCTGAGCTGAAAGAGGGATGCCACACACTGGGCTTAGGCTCACTAAGAGAACTATGCCTTACCTTTGGGAGGAGTTGCTTTTCATCCATTCAAACCAGACAGGGTATTGGTGGCAGGTGACCAGTGGGTGTTGAGGAAAGGGCATTCTAGGCAGAGGGAATGGCGTATCTGGGCAGTGGAGGAGACAGCAATTTCAACATACCTGTCTTAGTCTATTCAGGTCCCTATAGCAAAGTATCATAGACTAGGTGGCTTAAACAACAGACATTTATTTCTTACAGTTCTGGAGGCTGGGATGTTTAAGATCAAAAAGTGCTGGCAGATTTACTGTCTAGAGAGGGCTCACTTCCTGGCTTGTAGACAGCCACCTTCTTGCTGTGTGGTCAATGGCCTTTCCTCCATGCATGCTTGGGAGGTGGGGAGAGAGACAGAGAGAGAATGATTTCCGGCTCTTTCTTCAATTCCATCAGGCACTAATCCCATCGTGAGGGCTCCACCCTCATGATCTAATCTAAACCTAATTGCCTCCCTGAAGTCCCATTGCCAAATACCATGACATTGGAAGTCAGGACTTCAACATGTGAATTTGGCGGGACAGGGAGGGGACACAGACAGTCAGCCCATAACAGTGGGTGAGGGAGGTGTTCTTGGAATAAGTTGGCCAAGGTTAAGGAGAGCCAGAGCTGGAGGACCTTAACTTCCAGGGAGTTTTTTGGAGGGAAGAAGGCAAGGTCCCCTTTGAACAGAGGTTTCATTCATTGGACAAGCATTTATGGAAAGCCCCTGTGTTCTGTGGTGCACCTTGCTGGGTGCCGTGAGCCAGGGTGTAAATGGAATTGCGTTTTGGGAAGAGGAGAACAGTGCCGGTGGGATAGATCACAGGGAGGTGGAGGCTCCTGCAGTGGTCCAGAGAGAGGTTATAATGAACTTAGAACAAAACAAAAGGTAATGGGGAGGTGGATGCAGTATCCATTCGTGTCCAAAGAACTCGGTTTAAATCTTAGCTCTTGCCTATTACCTGCTGGGTGATCTTGGCTGAGTTGTTTGACTTTTAGATCCTCTTTTCTCTCAAATATAACATGACTGTCTTCCTAACCCACTTTACAGCTCTTATTTCTGAGGGTAAATGAGATGATGTATGTAAAGCCTATGTCTACATCCATGTCAGAAAAGCACAGAAAAAAATACTCAATTAGTTAATACTAATTTTATTATTGAAGAGAAAGAATTGACTAAATGTGATGCCAAGATTGTTGTAGAGAGGGCAGTTAGGAATAAGAAGTTGTCTCCAGGAGGGATCATTGAAATGTCCTTGCTCCCTCAGGAACATTCTACATGAAATTGCCTCATAAGAAACAGTTCCGTTGCTTTTGAGGTTAAGTGGGCTGTGTCCCCTTGGTAAGCCCAACAGCAGCAGAACAAGGTCTAGAAGGCCAGGCTCTGGTGCAACGCTTCGGACACTATGGGAGGGAGATGATGGTGGTAGGTGGTGGTGTTGTTCTGTCTGTTACACTCCCCTTTACAGACTGGAAAACTAAGTCAGAAAGAGATTGCATGTTCAAGGCACACACTAGCATGCAGCAGATCGAGAAACTCCTTTCTCTAGGACTAGTCATTCCTGTAAACCACAGCTACCTTATGAGTAATTTGTTTTCTTTTTATTAATATCTTACTGTGATGCTTTTAAAATGACCATGAGTGAGTGTGGAAAGTAGTAAATTTTGCACACAAGTATGCATTGTAGAAGATTATCCGTTGCAGATGTCGAGTCATGCCTTTTTCAATTTTATGTGGTTGTGATGAATTTGGCATAAGTTATGACCCAGTTCTGGGCCATTCTAATGGAACAAGCGAAGCAAAAGATCTCCCATTTTTAGTTTTACAGAAATTCTCTAAAATTATTCTCCATCTTGTTTCGGTATATTTTTTAAATTAGATTTTAGGATGGTTGACCTATTTCTAAAAGCATTTTAGGATAATCTGGTTTGCTCCTGG